CTGCCCCGCCCCGGCGTCCCGGCGCGCCCGCCCCGTCTTCTCTCCCTGCCGCGCCCTCCTGCCCCTTCCCCCTGCCCGGACGCCAGCGCCGCCGGCGCCGCGATCGCCACTGCTGACCTCCATGCGTCCCGCACCGTCCTCGGCACACGCCGCGCGGCGCGCTCGCCTACGTCACCCGGAGCGCCGCCGGAAACGGAGCTCGCAGCCTGTCGCCCGGCCGGAAGTCACTGCAACGGCCCCTTTCCGGTCGGCAGCCATCTTTGTTGTGGTCGCCCGGCCGGAAGTCGCTCCGGCGGCCCCTTTCCGGTCGGCAGCCATCTTTGTTGTGGTCGCCCGGCCGGAAGTCGCTCCGGCGGCCCCTTTCCGGTCGGCAGCCATCTTTGTTGAGGAAGCAAACTACGTGGAGGGAAGTGGAGCGAGAGGTAGGGCGCGGGCCCTTCGGAGAAGTGGGCGGGGAGAGAATGAGGAGCTCAGAGTCGCGGGCAGAGGCTGGCGCTCGGGCCGGCTGGCACCCAGGCCTCACGCGGAGCGCGGGAGGCAGCGCTTTGGTGCCCGTCGGTGTCGCGATCCCCGCCGGCCCCGGGCTTCCGCGGTAGCCGGGTGCGGACTGGCCCCGGCCGGAGGTCGTCTTGCGGGAGTGCAGGCACAAGTTGCCTTGATATTGTAATGAAAGAAAAAGAAAAGGATTCTTGGATTTGCTGTGCAGTCTTTGATTTTTTAAAAAAGTACTGATATTTAGTTATAAAATACAGTGCGGATAAGCCCAGCAAAACGTATCTGTACATACGTTTATAAAAGATGATAGGGCCTATGTAGGGACTCGATTAATTTTCCTTCTTGCACTTTTTATTTTATTTCCACGGGATTAGTAATTGCTTTTTGTTTGCGATCTCGTCTTTATCACATATTCTGCCCCAAGCCCTTCGCCAGTTGTCTGAGGCTTTCAAGACGCACCGATACATCCATCAGCGGTGTCGCGGTTAATCTCACCGGCATCCCCCACTGAGCGTTCTGAGCTCCGATGTGGGTCATCACCGCTGTGCTCCTAGGGCATCGCCCTGGGACCCCCCTTTACCATCGTCTGGAGCGATCCTCCACTGCCCTTCTGTGCCGGCGCTCTCATTTCCTGTCACCTACCATAGTTTTTGATTTATGCCCTAGTTGGGTGCAGCGCATCCTCCAGTAACTCCATGAGAAAGGATGCAAAGAAGGAATTCTAAAGGCCTTGCGGGTCTAAGCCATCTTCATCGTAGCCTCCCACTTGATTCATAGCTTGGCTGGGTGCTTTGGAAGGCTTATTCCTTGAAACGCTGCCTTTCTAGCTTCTCATGTTTCTGACGAAGAGTACAAAAATTCCCTGCGACATAGTTGATCACTGGATGGTCCGCCCTTCCTTTTTTTTTTTTTTCCAGATATTAGCATTTCTAGAAGCCTGAGGAGAGTCGTGCTAGGGTTCTGATACTGCACAGTACTGTTCCTTGGCGTGAGTCTGCATCTATTACCTGAGCGCATGAAGGGCCCTCGATCTAAAAACTCCTGTTCCCGGAGTTTGCTGTTACTTATCTGGTTGGCTATTTCCTTCCCATGCTCCTCTCTTTCTGAAAGATTCACATTTGAATATTGATTCTTCTGGGCTGATTTAGAATTTTCTCTGATTTTTCTATCTTGTCTTTCCTCCTCTTCATCTCATTATTTTTATTATTATTGGTTCTACTTTCTGAGAGATTATCTCAACTTTAGCTTCAACTCTTCTCTGAAAAGTTTACCAATAGCTTTTTATATTTTGAATTTTTTTTTTATAATGTGTATCTTTTTCATGATTGCAGTGTCTCATCTCCGAGGATTTCAACGATAGGGTTTTTTCCTGTTTTTCTTCTCCCTGTATAGTCGCCGTTATTCTCTCGTTACTTTTCGTATTGCATTGGATTCTATCCTTAGATATCGGCTCGTATTTAAGCTCAATGGGAAGAAGGAGCTCATTTACTGTGGGTGGGAGTGCAAAATGGCAGAGCCACTTTCGAAGACGGTTTGGTGGTCTCTTGCAAAACTAAACAATATTACTCTATGCAGCAGACTGAATGTTTACGTCCCTCACCCCTAATTCACACTCCCGAGGTGATGGTATCTGGAGGGTGGAGACCTTGTGACGGGATTAGTGTCCTTATAAAGAGACGCCCACAGAGCCCCCTCACCCCTTCTGCCGCGCGAGAAGTCTGCACTCCAGGCCCTCCCTTGCCTGCGCTGGCGCCCTGATCTCGGACTTCCAGCCTCCAGAACTTTGAGAAGTGAGTGTCTGTTGTTTATAAGTCACTGACTTTATGGGATTTTTGTTATAGCAGGTCAAACAGCCTAAGATGCTGTACAATCCAGCAATCACGCTTCTTAGAATTTACCCAAAGGAGTTAAAAACTTGTGTCCACATAAAAACCTGCACACACATGTTCACAGCAGCTTTATTTATAACTGCCAAAACTCTGAGCAACCGAGCCGTCCTTCAGTAGATGAAGGGGTAAATAAAGTGCACGTGGCCGAGCGTGAGTGGACGTGGAGCTCAGCGCCCCGAGGGGTGACCGGCTCCCTGGATGTGCTGCCGGCCCCTGCAGAGCGGCTGAGCTGGTCTGAGGCTGGGTCCCGCAGACTGCCAGAGGTGGCACGGCCTCACCGGGCACCGAGACCCTGACACGCGGAGCCCAGCAACTGCCCTCAGCACGTGCTACGGGAGAGACGGAAGCCACACCACTGCTGACGCCCGGGTGCACCCTCCGTCTGTGACAGCGCTACCCTGCACCCCATCTGGGAAGGACGGCCACCCCCCAAGATGGAGAGACGCGGTGCAGGGCAGCGCCCCCTCCCTCTCTCAGAGCTCGCGCCTTCGAGGACTCACAGCTGCCTTGGTTGCCGTCCTGAAATACATGCGCGTTCTCTGTGGCCACTGGGCCTTCTGTCAGCCTGGACCAGGACCATTTCCCAAGGACCTGGGCCATCTCTCTGAAGGGAGGTTCCCTCGTCCCAGTTTCCCGGGAGGCCCGAACCTACTTCCAGTGATAAAGGTGCGGGAAGTCTGCTTTTCCAACCCAGGTGGCCCCACTGTGGGCGGGGGCGACGGTTCCCCTGAGTAATGGAAGTGTTTTGTTATGTGTAAGGAGCCCCTTCCCCATACCGAGTATGCTAATGGGGTGACTCCTGGGGTGGGCTCTGGGGTTCTGAGGGTGAGGCTTGTGGCTGGGGACCGAGCTGGTTAGAGGGCTGGGGGTTGGCTTCAGCACCAGTGGAGGGCGGTTCCAACGCCATGCCCGTTAATGAAGGATGGAGAAAACGGGACCCTGAAGTCCAGAGGACACGTGATGTGAAGGGGTCCTGCCCACTTCTCCAAGGGAACTTCATTGACCCTTGTGCCCTGAGGGCCTGCACCTGACCCCACGGGGGCAGAGGGTCCTGTGTTCTCCTCCCCTGCCCCCGGTGTGCCTCTGTCCTTGTTGGCTGTTTTGGGTCTGTACCCTTTGTAACAGAACTGCAATCTTAAGTGCTTTCAGAATTCTATATTATTCTAGCAAATTACTGAATCTGGGTGTTCGTTGGAACCCTGAATTTGTAGCTAAGAAAGTCAGAAGTGCATGTGCCTCTGGCCCTGAGGCTGCGTCTGCAGTGGGGTCCCATGGAGCTGAGCCCTTGGCCGTGGCCTGGCTGGAAGGCGGGCGGTCAGTGTCAGGACTGAGGTGAGTTGTAGGATGCCATGGGGTGCCAGGTGGGTGGGCACGAGTTACCGGAGGTGCCCAGCAAGCTGCCACGAGCTGTCTGCACCTAAAGGCCCTGTAACCGCCTTCGCCTCTGCCCGCCCCCACAGCGGTTGCAGCCAACAAGGTGAGGACGGGTTACGGCCCCCTCACGCCTCACCCCCCTGCAGGCTCCACTCTGCTCCTGTCCCCCTAGTCTGCAACATCCTGAAAGGGGCCAGAACCCAGGAGCCAGAGCCTGAGAGTCATGGACAAGTCGCCTGGCCCAGAGCCATCGTGGCTGTGGCACTGCCTTTCTGCCACCCCCATTGTCACCAGGCAGCTTGCCTGCTTCCCGGAGCACCCCGAGGCAGGGCCTATGCACGTGTCCCCTCAGCAGGTGCCCAGGACAGATGAGTGGACAGGCAGAAGTGAAGCAAGTGAGTTTTATTAGCGGGAGGTGGCGCCGTCTGATCACACGGGAGTGGCCGCACAGGCTGGCAGTCGCTCCTGGCCCGGGGCTCGGGGCAAGCCCGTCACTGAAGGGGCCCTGCAGGGGCACGGAGGTCTCAGGGGCAGCATGAGCGGGGCGGGGGCGGGGGCTTGCCCTGGGAGCTCCCCACACCCACCCCTCCGGGCGGTCACTGGCGCCTACAGGCAGGTGGGCGGCAGAGACGAGGCCACGCTGCGTCCCCAGGCTCCTGCCCCAGAGTGGCCAGGCTGCTCCTCAAGGTCCGGGGCACAAAGGGAGAAGCCCGTCCCCACATGCAGGGCGTGTCCCGGGGCACGTCTCCGGACACTTACCCACGGCGGGGTCCAGACACCTCATGGCGCACCGGCTGAAGCAGCACTTTTTGCCGCCGTCACACTGGTCGTCCCTGGAGCACTCGCCGCTCTCCACGCAGGGCCCCGGGGTCTGTAGGGCCTGCACCTGGGGGCAGCGGCCAGCCTTTGGCACTGGGACTAGGGAGAGAGAGCCAGCCCTCCATGGCCCAGTGGCCGTGCTGGGGCCTCCCTCACCGCACCCTCAGGGGCCTGGAGCCTCGTATGTGGGCGGGGTTTAGGGGGCCGTTGGGCGGTCGCTAAGAGAGGGGTGTGGAGGGCTGGCCCAAGGCAGACCCGTGAAGAACTGTCCCCTCCGCCCCAGGGCTGGGGTGTTACCGATGAAGGGGACCATGCAGGACCGGCCACAGGGGCTCCGGGCACAGCACTTGGTGCCTTGGGGACAGTTCTGGTCGGTGACGCAGGC